AATTAAAAGAACTTGTTTATGTGACACAGCCAGAGGGTTTCGAAGAAAAGGGAAGTGAGAACAAAGTTTGTAAGTTAAACAAAGCCTTGTATGGCTTACGACAGGCACCAAGAGCTTGGAACAACAAGTTCAATCAGATACTCACGGAACTTAAGCTCAAAAAGTGTTATAAGGAACCCTCAGTTTATCAAAAAGAAGTAAAGGAGAGTCTTTTGGTCATAGCAGTGTACGTCGATGACTTATTTGTCACAGGATCAAATAAAAAAGTCATCGAGAAGTTCAAGAGCGAGATGGCCTCCAAGTTTGAAATGAGTAACCTCGGGAAGTTGACATATTATCTTGGGATCGAGGTATGCCAATATGATGGAGGAATAATGCTTAAGCAGGAACGCTATGCTCTGAAGATCTTAGAAGAAGCAGGGATGAATGAGTGTAACTTGGTTTATACGCCAATGGAATCTGGGCTGAAATTATCAAAATCTGTATATGAGAAGGACATTGACGCTACAATGTTCAGAAAGAATGTGGGATGTCTTCGGTATTTACTTCATACGAGACCAGATTTGAACTACTGCGTGGGAGTACTTAGCAGGTATATGCAGAATCCGAAAGAGTCTCACAGAGTCGCAATGAAACAATGCTTGAGATACCTGCGTGGTACAACTACGTTGGGCTTGAAGTTTGATCGCTCAGTTATGAAGATACCGAAGCTCATATGTTACAGTGACAGTAGCCATAATGTCGATCCTGACGATGGGAAGAGCACGACTGGTCACATATTTAATCTCGGTGGTAGTCCCATCTCTTGGTGCTCGCAAAAACAAGAGACTGTAGCGTTTTCTTCATGTGAGGCCGAGTTCATGGCAGGAACAGAGGCAGCAAGGCAAGCGATTTGGCTCCAAGACTTGCTTAGCGAGGTTACTGGATTACCAAGCGAGAAAGTTGTCATACGGATTGACAACAAATCAGCGATAGCCCTTACTAAAAATCTTGTGTTTCATGGCCGAAGCAAGCATATACACACCAGGTTTCACTTCATAAGAGAGTGTGTTGAAGATGGGCTAATAGAGGTTGAACATGTTCCCGGAAATGAGCAAAAGGCAGACATCTTGACAAAGGCACTTGGAAGAATCAAGTTCAAGGAGATGAGAGAACTGATTGGTGTTCAAGGCTTTGAGAAGATTGACTTCAAGCTTAGGAGGAAAAATATTGGATTAAGTTTAAAGAAAGCTTAAGATATAAGTCATTAGAGATTAGGAATATATGTTTAGGAGTTATCTAAATATAAAGTTGGATTCCTAATAGAGTTTGGTTTTGGTGTTGATCTCTCTATATAAAGAGATGCCAATGTGTGGCATAACTTATGAGTTTGAGATTGAGAAAGAACTTAAGTTTTGAGTTATTTTCTTAAGCAATAAAGAGAATTATTCTTTATATCAATCTTAAATTATATAGCATGCATATAAATTCAATGATCATACGATGACAACACAAGAAAAGGCCACTAAATTACAAATTTTCGTCAGCTAAAGGTTAATCTTTAGATATTCTTTTTTTTAAATATAACAAAATAAACATGTATTACTTCTTCCTCTTCTGGTTTTGTTTTGTAGGGGCATCATTTGGAGTACAATTGTAGATTTGAGTTCAAAGAGAAGCAAAGAGAACATACACATGATGAGAAAGAACCAATCACATAAGTAAAAAGACTATCACATGGTGGAAGGTAATCGAATTAATGGTAGTCAAATTCAGGAAAGAAGATTCCATACTCCCTTTCCAAAATAATTCTCCACTAAACCACGAAAAGTTTGACAACCAATGAACTTTAATTTCCTTCCACAAAACATTTAGATAGCAACATCAACATGCATGCATGAAGGAGTTTACTTATGAATCACTTTCTTGTTCGAAAGCTGGATCTCCAGTGGACAAATAAAATACATTAATTAAAATAGTCAGCAGCGTCTAATCTAACTATTGAAGTTACATTTGATATTTTATGTCGACGAAATGAGCCAACATGACATGAAGCTATGACGCGTAAAAAGTGAGCTTCTAGAAAAAAGAAGTAAGTGTATATACGTATCTGAAAAAATGCTTAGGTGTAGTGCAAATAGTTAAGTCCAAAGAGTAAAGACTAAATGTGAAAAAGACAAGAAACAAATAGTTAAAACAGAAAATGATAGAAAAATGAACGGCGAAGCATTGCCTAGAACGGCATTGTCACAGCAAGAGGTTGGCTACTTTGGCTTTAATGCATAAGTGGGGCGAAACGATAAACCATCGTATTTATTATGTCCATGTCAATTGCGTCATAGTTTTCCTTTTCTGTAAAAGTCGTAGCCTTTTTGTAACAAAAGAGAATTATGTTTTACTATAGAAAAAAGCTATAAAAAATCTAACATTGTTTAATTAAAGTATTTTGTTATTATCAGCATCTCCAACCTTATACTAAATTTGGTGTTAAATTTCATTTTAGCATAAAATTAGCTCCAACTCTATCTTATTTTTTATACTAAAATAGAATAATACTATTTTTGCTTTCAAATATCGAACCACTTTATTTTCAATTCTATTTTGGAATTGAATCTTGTTTTATAAAGTAGTCCTTTAAATTTCAAAGAAATTTATTTTAAGAGTTATAACTAATCATTTTGATGATGATTTATTTTTAGTGATGATTTTTTTTTTTTTATCAACAACCTCTCATCCTAGAACGATTCAGAGATCAAAACTGGTGGATTTGAGTTTACATAGTCATTATTAGTGATGATTATAAATATTAAAACACTATATTCTCTAAAATTAAAATGCAAATATATAACTTATAGAACATTGGTTTCTAGAAGAAATTTTGAGACACCTATAGACTTAACTTCCGTGAGAAACTGAAACACCCTAACGTATTAAAATAACGTACGCATACGCATGCATGCGAGGTAAAAGAGTAAGACTATTATTATATCCCCAAAATGTGTGGCCTGATTAGTGATGCTGGTACGAAGGCAGAGCATTTATTTGATCGAGTGAAAACATTTCTGACAGCTTTTAATTTTGTTCGGAGCCCTAAAATTCAAAATATCAATGAAATTAAACAGCCAAATATCAGAATTTTTGACCAACTTTACATATAGATAGAATATAGTGGACCATGCATGTCGATGACTACGTTTTAAAACAATTTAAACAACGAAACATAGTTTTTCTCAATGACATTTGTATAACACATGGAATAGTAAATCTAACTAAGTTGAATCTAACATTAGTTAGTTGAACTTTGTATACAAATTTTTTAAGTTGACTATTTTGGGTAGTTTTTTTTAAATGTGACGATCTGTTTTTTATACAAAATTTTAGGCGAAACGCAATGTTTTGTACCTTAATATGGAAACAAATGCATAGTTGTGTCACATCTCACAACATGTGCAGATGCAATATTGTAATCCACTGTATATTATTTGAGAAGTAACATTATTAAATAATTGACACTACAGCTAAAGTTAGTGCTTTTAATTGATGACATGTAAATGTGACATGGCAAACTTCTTAAAATAAATGAAATATTTTGATTGGTTGAATTAAAACTATAGAAATTGTGGAATTAAAATATAAATTAACTATATTATATTTATAACACTAAAATTAACAAATTTAAATTAACAAAAATAAACGTTATTATAATTTCAATTTTTCTACATATATTCTTAATTTCATAATATATATATATATATATATTATAATTTCATATAAAATGAAAAAATAATACTAAATTATCCAATAGAATAATAAAAAATCTATTTATTGATAATACTTGAAGTATGATATATTTTTATTTCAGAAAGTTATTAATTTACAAAATATATTAATAACCTCTAAACAATTTTTAAATAAACAAATTATTAAATAATATAATTTTAAATAAAATACAATCATGATAAAAAATAATTTGAAGAATAAATTGTTTTTTAAAAAACGTAATTTTAAATAATTTTTATTTTCAAATCAATATTTACTAAATGAATAAAGTATATACTAATTATTATTTAATAATATTAATGGGACCATTTATTTTTCTATAACTTTTATCATATTTTTAGTGTTGTTTTCTAAAATGTACATAACTTATGTTACCATCTCATCTTATCTCTTATCATATTTTAAATTAAATTAAATTTTATATCATATTTATATATATATAATATTTATTTTCATTGTATATCAAAATTTTGAAAACATAAATAAAATGAAAAATAACTGAACGAAAGAATAAATTATAATAAGATGAAATAATATGAATAAGAAAAAAAAAGTATATAAAAATAAATCTCTCGCACTTTGTTTTACAAAGTCACTTAAAAAAATTTTAACACCGAAGAGCCATATTTCAATTTTTTTATAAATACACGTACAAACATAAATATTAACTTTTCCATACATGTATTTTATTTTAATTATTATACAATTTATATTTTTAAAATTATTTGTCTACTTTAAGTGTAGTGAAGTGGTTGGTATGTCCGCACATGCGCACCAACCATCTATCCGCTCGTAAGAATAAGTAAAAATAGTAAAAATTATTTCAGTTTAATTTACAATAAATCAAGAAAAATATATACTTAAAATATATTATATATATATTTGTAAATTCATATTATGTAAGACGCAAAAAAGCATATTGAAAATTGTGTAAGGAGAAATAAAGCATATTATAAAAATATTCAAAAAATATTATAAAAATTTAATTATTATTTAACATAACTTTTATTTTTGTGATTATATATTATTGCAAACATTATAAAAATAAAGTTTTTAAAATACATTGGTTTCAGAAAGAAGTTTATGAAATATTAAAACAATATATATACAAACATACCAATGTTTAAAAAAACTAATCAATATTTAAATATTACAATTAACTATATATATAAAAAAATTATATCTACACATATGTGCGGGCAACCACCTAGTTCAACATGTATAAATGTATACATGATTATCAAAGCACTAACTCTATTGTTTACCTTATTAAACAATTTCCATAAGTAACTAAATGATCAATCAATTACTAAAATTATTGAACTTCCTATATATATGGCTTGTCAACACAACTTAAGAAACATAAAAGAATTAAAACAAAATGGAAGTTTCATCACATCATGTGGTTCTCTTCCCTTACATGTCAAAGGGCCACACAATCCCTCTCCTCCAATTTGCTCGTCTCCTCCTCCGTCACCGCCGCAAACAACAAACAATCTCCATCTCCGTCACCGTCTTCACCACTCCCAAGAACCAACCTTTCGTCTCCGACTTCCTCTCCGCCACGCCGGAGATCAAAGTCATATCTCTCCCTTTCCCGGAAAACATCTCCGGAATCCCTCTCGGCGTCGAGAGCACAGACAAGCTCCCTTCTATGTCACTATACGTTCCCTTCACGCGCGCCACGAAGTTTCTCCAACCGTTCTTCGAAGAAACACTCAAGAATCTTCCAGAAGTTTCCTTCATGGTCTCTGATGGGTTCCTTTGGTGGACATCAGAATCAGCAGCTAAGTTCAAGATTCCAAGATTGGTCTTCTACGGCATGAACGCTTACGCCTTTGCCATCCCCATGTCTTCCTTCAAACACAAACTCTTTACCGAACCGGAGACTGAATCTGATACAGAACCGGTCACTGTACCGGACTTTCCATGGATCCGGATTAAGAAGGGTGATTTCGTCCATCGTTCTCAATCGGGTCCAGCGACCGAACTGTTCATGGATCAAATCATGTCGAGCAATACAAGCCATGGTTTTATAGTGAATTGCTTCTACGAGCTTGAGTCACCATTCGTTGATTACAACAACAGTTCTGATAGGCCCAAGTCGTGGTGTGTTGGGCCGTTGTGTTTGACAGATCCTCCTAAACCGGACCGTGCTAAACCAGCTTGGATTAACTGGTTGGACCGGAAAGGAGAGGAAGGACGTCCAGTTTTATACGTGGCCTTTGGAACGCAAGCAGAGATATCGAACAAGCAGCTCAAGGAACTAGCTTTGGGCTTGGAAGATTCCAAGGTACGTACCCATACCTATAGACCATGATCCGATCTAAATGATTTGGTTAAAAAAATATATGTTAATTCATCTTAACAAAGCTTTTTGTTGAACCGTTCAAGGAGTTCTTTTTTTTTTTTTTTTTTTGGTCGAAACCGTTCAAGCAGTTTGTGTCAACTTAATTGCATGACTTTACTTAAGAGTGTGAGTGTGTGACTACAAATTAGCATTTTAAGTTGATAAAGGCACATGTCGAAACAATGATCGTTTTGTGTTTTGTTTACTGTATTAGGTAAATTTTTTTGGTGCAACAAATAAATTCTAAATAGATAATCGATGCCATGCAATGGTACAATACCGTTTTGTCTAACCATTTCTATATAAACTTTTGATTGAACCCTTAAAGTAGGCTTTTCGTCGACCTAACTCCATGAACTTTTTTGTTTTTTTTTTTCAACAACACGCAATATGCGGATTTAAATAGCGATGAGATAACAACTTGTCCTAACTAATTTCTCATGATTTTAGTTTAAATAATGACTATACAAGCTAGACATTAAAGTGTAAGATATGATTATATATGAATGCCTTTATATGTTGAGCTAATGATTTGATGTTATATTTCATGACGTGTATGATTTGGTAAGGTAAACTTTTTATGGATCACAAGAAAAGACGTGGAAGAGATTATGGGAGAAGGATTCAAAGATAGATTAAGAGAGAGAGGGATGATAGTGAGAGAATGGGTGGACCAATGGGAGATATTGTCACATGAAAGTGTAAAAGGATTCTTGAGTCACTGTGGATGGAACTCAGCACTAGAGAGTATATGCATTGGGGTCCCATTACTGGCTTGGCCGATGATGGCTGAGCAACCACTCAACGCGAAGATGGTCGTGGAGGAGATAAAGGTTGGAGTAAGAGTTGAAACCCAAGACGGGAGTGTTGAAGGATTCGTGACAAAAGAGGAACTAAGTCGAAAGGTATGGAGATGCAAACATAAATGTTAATTTTAATTTAATTTCGTTTAGAGATCTAACAGAATACAACATAAATTAATGGTAACTAACCCACGTTTTGGATTTTTTTTTATATATATATTTGAAAAGTATTAACGTCTAGCTAGCTAATTTATTGGGTATGTCAACTTAATAGTAGAAATTTAGGCATGTCAAACGGGCTGGCCCGACCTGGCCCGGTCCGAAATCCATAAAACCCACATATATTTAAGTCCGGTCTGGTCCGGCCCGAAAATATATCGGGCCTATATTTTGAAGCTTAGCCCAGCCCAGCCCTAACATGGTTATCTAGCTTTTTCGGGCTATTTCGGACTTTTTAGAAAAATAAAATAAATTTTAAAATTAATCATAGATATAGTTTTATCAAATCTGAAAGCAAAACTTTAACTTATAAATTTATATCACACCAAAAAAAACTTATAAATTCATATAAATTCTAATATCAAATATAATTAAATAAATAAGTAATGTAAATAGTAGAAACAATAGAATCGAGATGAGAATCTTCAGGATGAAGGTAGAAGTACTTCTTGAAACTAGTTTAGTTTGAGTGGTGTTATATGAAGGTACATAACTAAAAATTAAGATTTTATATTAATAAAAAGTATTATAAAAAAATAATAACTCTAATTTTTTAAAATTGTAAAGATAATTTATTAATAAAAATTTCTAAATAAAATTAGAATATAAAGTACAGGATTTTTCGGGTAAGCCCGAGACCGATTGGACTTAAGCCCAAATGGGCTTAGCCCGACTGGGTTTAGCCTAAAAAACCCGATTTTTTGGGATTTTTATACCAAAACCCAAACCCGGTATTTTTCAGAGCCGGGCCGAGCCGGGCTTCAGGCTTTGGCCCAAATTGACATTCCTAAGTAGAATAGCTGAATAGTTGAATAATAAATTACAAGAATCAATAGAATGGGTAAACTGAAAACTGAATAAACTCACAACTTTAAAAAGTTAGTATCCATTAGATGAATAGATTTTTTTCTAAACTAGTTATAAATTTAAAACGTACAGGATGAATTAAAAAAATAGCGTGTTGATTTTCACTTTTTATCATCCAATGCTTAATGTTATGAATGATATGTATTTAACGAAATCACGTTTTCAAAACGTGAAAAAATTACATATCATTCAACCCTATTATTTTATTAAAAAACATGAAAAAGTTCAGTCAAAATGATATTTTTTTCTTTTGTTTGGACACAAAATAGAAAGAGCCGTAAAGGTTTCATTACTACTAAACGAAAACAAAATAACTTATTAACTCATTCATCCATTTTTGTGAAAACAAAAGAAATCTATTAAAATCGATGTGTTGGTTTTCTAGTTGTGTTTGGGGGTTATCTTTTTAAGTCTTAATAAAAATTTATTATTACAGGTTCAAGAACTGATGGAAGGAGAAACAGGAAAAACCGCAAGAAAGAATGTGAAAACATTCTCAAATATGGCAAAAGAAGCTTTGGTCCAAGGGACTGGTTCGTCTTGGAAGAATTTAGATTTGATTTATGAAAAGTTTTGTAGTAGAGAGCCAAACGATGCCAATAAGCAGTTAGTAGAGTGATTCTGAATTGGATAACCAAGCCAGTTTTAGATCAGTTTGTACAATAAAATCAATTATAAATATTGGTTTCCAAATCAATATTTACTAATTGATAGATGTTTTGGAATTTTCACATATATTAAAAAGATAAATTAAAATATTTTTATAAATAAAATATCTTTTGTGATCACTATTCTTTTATAATTTTAAATCAATAGTAATTTAACTAATTTTTGAATTTTTTTTACTCGATTTTTTTTTGAAGTTTACAATTTTTATTATCAACTAAATATATATATATAATAATTAAAAATATATATTTAGAGAAACAAAATAAAAATCTAAAAATACTTTCTTTTAGGAAAGTATATAAGTCTTGGTTTAGAATATTAAAATTGACCGATACAACTAAACCAGCGGAACAAACCATAATCTTGGGTGTGGTATCAGCCTAACAGCTGAATTGGGAGGATGGTTGCTGGAAAAATAAAAGAACATATGGTACAAAACAACTTATTCATTTCAACATGTAAAATATTAGCGAGCTATAACAACAACAAAAATATTCATTTATCGGTTAATAAGAACAAAGAAAGTTGTATTATCAAAGATACAAAAGAATTAAACAAGAAAATAATACACTCGGTGAATATTAACTGACTAACAATAGTAATATCATCATTCACCTTAAAGAACTTATCAAACTGTAACTAAACATTATAGTATCAAGTTTAATTACTCTTACAGTCTTATATTAACATTAGAGAAGCTCATCAAGAAACGACCTCCCTTTAAATTTCTCAAGCTTAAATCCCATCTTCTCCATCCGAGACCTCTCTGTTTCCAGGTCAGTGAGCTCTGCCTTCATCTCCTCGACTCTCAGCCTCGCTTCCAATACAGCCTTCTCAATCTGAGCCAAATCAGCTTCTTGAATCTCCAATTCTTGTTTCTTAGACCTCACAGACTCTTCTTGCCTCTCTTTCTCTGAGTCTGCGTTCTCTTGATACTTAGCAAACTCCTCAAGAACCGAACGTAGCCATTCAACATCGATGTTCACAGACTCCAAGTCCTTAAGAACCGCGAGCATCTCTTTCACTTTAAGTTCGTTCAGCTGCGAGACTGGAGTTGACCCGAGCTCTTGCATCAATGAGCATAGACACTCTAGGTATCGGGATCTCATCGACGCTGATTCTAGCCTGCAGTTTTCAGCTATGTCTCCGTGTTTGTCCAAGATTGACCGTAAGATCGCGGAGACACCAGAGTTCACACGGTATTTTCCAACCGAAACACACGAGTCCGACATTACTGATTGAAGGTCGAGCTCTACACCGTTCTCATCATCATCATCATCATCATTTGCTTCTGATCTTGGAGGGCTTGCGGCAACAACGACACTAATCTCACTGGCTGTGTCATTCTTGACGCTTTGCTCATGCTCTCGAGGTCTTGGTGACACAATTTTGCTACGACCAGCCTGAACAATATTAAAAACAAAACAGAACATGTTAAAGATGACACTCTCCTCTTTACTGTAAGATTCATCTAAGAACTTGTTTAATACCACCGACATAGATGATAAGTGAGAGATGGGTGATTAAGAAATACCATGTTGTTTGGAGATAGAGGAACCATCCGCGAGGGCTTCTCTGGCTTATAGTTGAAAGAATCGTGCTGACCATTTAGGCTAATAGAGATTTCATCAGAGGATGAAGAAGGGAAAGATCTGTTTGTTTCTTGAACCGTCGTCTTCTTTACAGCTACTGGTGAAGGTCTTGATTGATGAACCCTTGGTGAGTTTGCTGTACCGTTCTGATAGTTCCTTGTGTTCAGAGGTGAAGGTGGATGTGATTCCGTCTTTTTCTTACCGAAACTCCCAGGGAGACTAAGAACCTTTGAAGCTGTAATAAATCAATTTCAAGAATGAGTAAAAAAGAAAGGGTACAACTTTGAAAGCTAAAGCCTTTTGTTGATTCAATCCCTCAAGAACAGAGGAAAGTTATAAAGAAGAGAAAAGTACCTTGCTTCTTTGAATTCTTCTTTCCACGGCCTTGAGCAATCTTCTCTAAACAATCTGAAGCACATTCATGGAAAGGGTTTGAAGAATACTTGCAATCAGGGTGAGCTTTCCGATTAGTATCCATATCTTAATCAATGTATAGATTCAATCAGATGCAAAAGCTGCAGTAAGAAAAAACACACAGAAGAAACCTATCAGCATGAATTGGAGAAAGTATAACCAAACTTAGTTGAACAAAAGTCAATTCAGGGTATGCAAAAAGGTCAAGACTTTAGACCTCAATTCAATTTTAAAATGGTTAAAAACATCATACAACACAACAACTCCACAACAGTATTGGATCCCCTTCTGGGTTTTTTCACCAATCATTCATGATTTATGACTTCAAAAGCAAAAAAAAAGATAACTTTACCAAAACACACATTAAAGAAAACTTTGAAACTATTGGTATCAGATGATCCCCACAACAATAAATCAAGGTAAACAAAGAAAAGTAAACATTTACTGATTAAGACAAAAGTCTACAAAAAAAAAAAAAAAGCAGACCCACAACAACAATCTCTGTAAGAGTAAAGCACCGATTTTTTTGATCAAAGCCTTAAACTTTCTTCACCATTGTACATTTATTGAGAAAAAGATAGATTTATATACCGAGAAATTGCGAATGGCGGTGAAGAAAGGTCTTGCTTGAGCTAAGAAGATGGAAGCGAAATAGAATTTTGATGATCGATGTAAATTTACTAGTATATAAGAAGAGGTGATGTGTCTTTGGACACATTTTGATTTGACCGAAACCTTAATATATACAGAAGAGAATCGTTGAAGATTCGGCGAGATTGACTAGTAAATTTATTTGCAGGAGAATGGAGATAAACGTTGCAATCAATGAAAGGCTTCCAGAAGTTGACAACAACGAAGCAGAGACGAAGAAAGGGGAACAAAGAAAGCTTGTTTCTGTTCACACCTACTAATTAACCAATTATAAAATTTTAATACATTATTGGTTCACGTGTGAAAGACTAGTAGCTTCTAATTTTCCAAAATTTAATACGTCAGCATATTGTCACTTTCTTATCAAATGGGAATTTTAGATCATGCCATCGGATTTTTGGGATTTTTTGCATTCTATGGCACTTTTTTCTATAAAGTTTTATTTGATCTAATAGCATTTTTATATTTACTTATAGCACTTTTTGTACTTACTTATAACTTTTATGTCCTTTTAAAAATCTTCCAGAATCTCTAATGAGGACAAAACATGGAGATATGAGAATCATCAAAATATATAGTATAATTTAAAAATCTTAAATCAGCCTAACATAAACAATTATCAATAGATATACAAAATCATGGAATAGTGATCAAACAATGATGAAGGGATTTAAATTAGACACTATACTAGAGCGTAGATATAATTATATAACTAATCATTTTTTAAGGTTACTGTTGGCATACAAATCCCATAGTAAATTACTTTTTATTTATATAATTTTGATTTGCAAACAAAATAACCAATAAGCTTTAACTAAGCTGAGTATTTTTTTTGTTTTTCTTTATTTTTAATGATAGACTAGGTGATCGGTCCGCACCATGTGCGGACTATAACATATTTTATATGTTTAATATTTAAAATATATTACATATTATTTTAGGAATATTTACATATATGATTGATTAAACATTAAGTATTACGGTTGTATGCATATTTGATAATTCAAAATAAGTAAAAATTATAAAATATTCTAATAGAAAATATTACATAAACGTGAGAACATATAATAAAGTGTAATAAAATATATCAAAAACATAAACTAAGAAAGATTATCAAAAACTTCTTTATAGACGACATTTATAGTTTTCTTTTGCACCTTCGCTTCTTAGTCTGTGATGAGAACTTTAAGTCTAGATCGAGATTTAACTCTAGATAAAGCAACATATAGCTGATCATGAGAGAAAACTGGTCTAGGTAGAAACAAACCGATATTCTAAAGTGATTGTCTTTGGCTTTTATTGATGGTCATTGCGAAAGCTAAAGCTAAAGGAAATTGTCTACGACGCATTCTAAAAGGAAACCTAGTGTCTGGTGGTGTGACATACATCCTAGGGTTTAAAACCTTTTGACCAATCAGTTTTTCATTTCCTGTTAAAATTCTACCTTCTACCACATGTCGAGCCATCTGAGTAATAATAAGCCTAGTCCCATTACATATACCACCCTTAGGATCAATATTACCTTCTACCACATGTCGAGTTCTAATTTTGTACTCTTGTTTGAATATCATCTTTGGCACCCACGCTAAACACTTGTCCAATAACATCTACGTGCAAACATGTAAAGTAATAAACAATGAAAAATTAAAAGAAAGGGATGGAATATCTTCGAAACATAAAAATGTAAATGTAGAAGAAGTGTTTTAGTATTACAAGATGTTTTTGTCGAGTTTATCATCCAAAATCTCAGAAAAATCACTGAAATATTTTTCTGGGAATTCTTTTGGGAAATCACAAACTGGTTTGATAACACTTGTTCGGGTCAATTCCATCTTGAACGGCAACAGAGAGGTTCTGTAATCCCCACCATATTTTATTAACTTTGAAAGCGTTGATGCTAACAGCCACACCTTCTTTCAAAGCTTGTTGATGTTTTTGTATAAATTCTTCAACCCCTGTTGCATGAATCCTGGTTCCCTGGAAAAATTAGAAATAAAAAATCTTGTTACAACTTTGAAAGTAAAACATTAGAAACAAAATATAGACATAAAAACAAACCTCTTCATCAACCAGCACCATTTCAATTGAATTACCAGCAGTAGTTTTAAAAGAATTCCAAAAAAACTTGGATATGTACGTTTATCTTTTAGGTGTAGCTAGCAGAATCGAGATTGTTTAACATCACAAAAGAAGATTTTTTAAGGCACACAAGAGCCATTATTATGTGTGGTATGTGATAAAAAAAATCGAATGAGGTACATTCTAAAAACGTTTTACATATATAGTTGGAGAAGATCAATAAATTAGCGTATAATGTACTTTTCTAAAAACAATTAAAAGTCGTATATTTATGATATAGTACATTCCAAAATTATGAAAACATATATTATAATTAGGGGTCAGTAGTAATGATGATGGTGTCAATCAAAATATTTCAGCATCATAGTAAATTGTATCTCCTTTTATCTAATTTTTGATATATTTGGTATTAATTGAAGATATTAACAGAATTCTACTTTTGGTGCTTAGAAGTTAGTCTCCTTATATTGTGTTTTCCGTTTATTTCCTTTCTATATTTATATTTAGTAACGAAATTAAAACTCATCAAATTGAGGTAAATCAAAGTTTTAATTATCTCGATTTTAATAATATCACTTCTTCTATAAATAAGTATTTTCTATATGTAGACCCAAAATTATAACCCATTGCATAAGAAAGGAAAACTAAATTGTTTTTTTGGTACCTTGGAAGCAGGCTCATTTGATTCCTTCTCAAGTTTAGATTCTCCCAAGTCCACGCTTTTTGAGTCTGAAATGAGTCTGGAACCTGTAATTTAAAAAAAAAAACGAACCGTAATTATTTTGTTTTAATAAAAAAGATATCAGAACTAAGTCATCATGGTGCAACGATTTTACTTGGATCTATGCGTGGGTGCAGATTTACTTAATGAGGAGATGAATTATAAACCTTTCTTCAGGGAATGCACGTTTGTTTCTTTTCTTCTCGTGATTCACTCCAGTTGGCAAGCCCTCATAATTGAGAAACAGAGTTTAAGGTTTAAGAATGGATGGTAAGCTGCTGCTGGATGAGAAGGCATGAACCCTGGTGATGGAACCGCCATAGATTTCAACTGTTGCTCCATCTTCTCCTTATCAGCCTTCAACACCAGCTTCTCTTCCCTTAGCTCGTTCTTCTCCGCATATACGCAAAAACCGGAATCAAATCAGGCTCATTAGATAATGGGGTTTAGGTAGAGCTAAAAATTTTACGAAAATCAAAGTGAGAAACCAACCTTGAGACTCTTGATCTCTTCTAGAAGTTTCTGGTTGGTTTCTTTGAGATCAAGAGCTTCACCTCTGAGCTGATTTACAACCCGGATTGCATCATCTAGAATCGCTGATTTATCCGTCTTTGGAGTCCTTGTAGGCTCAAGAACATAGCTCAATTCCATAAACCTGAAAGCATATTGAGACTGTTGAACAACATTGTGCAAACAATTTATCTAAAAACATACGCATTAGGCAAAGCTCTGAACATACTTCTCGTTTAGCTGTTCCCTTCTCTGTTTCTCACGACAAGCTTTGGTTCCCGGCTTGCTACATGATCCAGTTCGTCTCCTGTTCATATACAATAATCAGATCAAACACAAACAACATAGCTGATGCTAAAGATAGTCCCCGTAGAGGACACAAGTGCTATACCGAATTGAAGCCAATCCTACAAGTATGAAAGTCGGAACAGTAATAAAAAAACGAAGGAGAGATGATCATCAATGCGTACAACAAAAACTTAGCGTAGTCTTGGATGATTATATGTTTGAGTTCTTTTTAATGAAAAAACCTCAAAAATAATAATATAAATAAAAGTAACATTTTCACTCAAAATTTTCTCAAATGACTTCAACTAATCGAACAGTTAAGACTCTTCACGACGAACACAAGTAAGAGATATGATAAAAAAAAAGGAATCCAAGACAATTGCAAAAGATTTGGGTGCGTATATTTTGTTAAAGTAAAACAAAAGCTTAGTGTAGATGCTTTACCCAAATCGACCAGTCTTCCAAGCTTGACCGTGCTTCCCACTCCCACCAATTATGGAGATACTAACGAAATCCTCCTCGTTGAACAGCATCGTTGTACGCCAAGAGATAAGGACCCTACCACTGGGACAAAGAGTCTGACAGCAGAGAATCCGACCAGTAAACACGGCGATCAAGGCAGAGACGGACCCGGGTAGCTCTGGCGTCGTCAGCGTTCTGTATAAGCTCCTTTAGCACGGTGGTGCCTTCCGGGTAGTTGAATAAAACCTCCCGAATTCGTCGGGTCAAATCCACCTTCTGCCCAAAATCTTAGAGAAGAAGTGAATCCATCTTCGATTAGAATGTTCTGTTGTTGTTGCGAAATTGTGAGAGTC